CTGTCTGTTTTTGTTTTTGTATAAACACTGAGATTATATATAAATAAATTGCTCTAACTGAAAGCAGATCCTTTATTATTATGTAGAAATGAGAATTGATTATTGCATTGAAGGAGAAATATGAAAGAATTATTAAAAATTTTTAAATGCATTATCTGAAAGATGAATGAATCTCGGTTCTTATGTAGATGTCAACTATGGTTTCTATCTTTTCAATATACATGTCACTGAGGAAGCTTTCAGATGGAATTTTAACATAGATAGTATAAGAAAACAATATAAGGAAAAAAATAATTGTCTCTCTCCAAACCCTTGTATGTATTGCATGTAGTCAGTTTTTTTTTTCTCCATGCACATAGCAAAATGGAACAGCAACAAGACAAAAAGTTAATTCATGATTTCATATTTCTCCTTTCATTTTAGATGGTGAGTGAACTTCTGTGATGTGGTAAGGAGGACAAGATGTTTCCCTGTGTGTTCTGTCGCAGGGTGGCTCCCTTGTTCTTCGATCTTCTGACCCCAACTTGAAAAAGGATCTGTTTTTGGCTTTGATGAATATCTATTTCATTTTTTGGCTATTTGAGGTTTGGCCACATACACATAATTGGGCACCTCTTGGAATTTCTGTATGAATGCTAAAATAATACGTACATGGTTATTTCATCTTGGATATATTACAATTTATTCCTAAATGCATTTTGCACTTGGTAATACTTATGTGCTGCAGCATTGTGCTCCAGGTAGTCAAGTCATTCTAGAGTAAACTTTTGGTTTATTTGAATATCTGTTGAGTTAGAAAAAATATATATATATCCAAGAAGCTACCAATTTTTGTAGTTTGGCCTTATACAAGGTTTGAGTTTGGTCTGAATGTGAAAGGAATTTTGTTTTGTGTATGATGAAGAAGCTGAAGGATTTGTAAATTTTGCTTTCTGCCTTTGAATGAAGAGGAACTTATCTGTTCTTTTACTGAATTCTTGTTATAAAGAGTCTTTCATCTGGACATAGGTTGACCTTTTGATAAATTATTTCAAATATGATATACTGGTCTTTGTTGGTGTTATTGGCAGAACTGGCATCAACAAAATCTTAGGTGTGTTATTCCTATTAAGTAATTTCTGAACTTCATAATAATAATAGAAATATATGGTTGCCAATGGTATGTGAGTGAATTTAAGTGTGTGTATAGAATGGATATGTAAGGGCAGGTATGCAAATAGACAGACAAATTTTGTAGATGAATTTAAGATGAATTTAACATTGTTTTAACGTTTGTAATTGTAATACGCTTGATGAGTAGAGCAGAATATAAAATAAGTTCTATCTTTTATCTTGAGCTTGAAATATAACTACTTTATAAGGAGAGAGGAATGCAAGTAATTATGATCACCATCATTACTATCACCGTCATTGTTGTTATCATTGTCATCATCATTTTATCATGATCGTCATCAATATCACCTTCAACTTCATCAGTCACCTCTGGCACCTCCATCATCTTTGTTATCAGAATCATTGTCTTGCTTTTATTATAGTGCATGCAACTCATTTTGTCATTGCTTTTATCCACAGCTGGATAACACATACCAGCGAAGAGGAGCGCTAATTGAACAGTGCATGTCCGAAGCGCGAGAAAAGGTTCGCCAGATGAGGGAGGATATGGCAACCAAAAGGGATGATGCCAAGTTCATGAGAAGTCTGCGTAATGAACAGAGCAAGGTCTGTTTTTTTGGATTCGTTTTAGCTGTGTTCTTGCTTTTTGTTGTTGTTATTGTTGACTTGTGTTGTCAGTGCTTTTTTTTCATTGCTTTTTTTTTATATATGATTTATGGGATCAGATTTTAGTTAAATGTTATTACTATAAGTGTTATTTGATATTGTGTTTGTAATTAAAATTGATAGCTTGTCATCCCATGTGTGGGATGAACGAAGCCAATAAAGGAAAAAAATTACATACATATATTTTATTTTCCAGATCCGAGAACTGCAGAATGAATCAACCATTGAGGAGATTGTTAGAGAACGCAGCTTAAAGGTCTTCGAGGAGAGGTGCCGACAGTTCTACAAGCCCGAAAAGAGTGACTGATCCATAGGGGATGAGATGTATAGGTGCAAGTGAAGGCAGAGTACAAGACTTTCCTGACACAGTCTTCTAGGGGATGGAAAGAGAACTGCTGTCTGTTATTTTGGGGGTCGACTAATATCATCGGGTGGAACATGGTTATTCCAGTGGGATTATAATTTTTTTTCTTTTATTGTACACATTAATATTAGTTTTGTAGAGGAACTGTCTGTTAAAGCAGCTAGGTTCTTGTTAAACCATTTTTTTCTGAAATGTATAGATAATGACCAACATTTAGCCTTAAAGTAAAGACCTGCAGCATATTTCATGTCATAGAACGAATTTCTGCATTACTCATGTCATCATTGAACTCATGTTTGTTATTTACCTTTTTTTATTGAGATGATCAATGTGTATATAGTAAAGTTGATGTGAAAATATTTTGTTTCTTTTACCCTGTTTTTTAAGTGATTTGAAAATGGCAAAAGAAGTAATGTTTTTATTCATGTGCCAATGCAATGTTTGGTTGCCTTGCCAAGTAGAATATTTTGTGTTGCACAGAATTCAAATACTCAAAATAACCAAGTATGTGTATGTTAACTGAACCCATACTGTATATACATTACAGTGAGAGTTATGTTGTCCTTGGTGGATTTACCAGAGTATAATAAATAATTCATAACATTTTCAAAATGCCAGTAAATTATGAAAATAAATTCTCAGGTGATCATGGATTTGCTTTGTGTTTGTATTAATATATAGTAAAACTAAGGTATATATAAATCTTTCTCCCTTTAAATTCCTCCTAATTGAACCATTTTTGAAGATTAAAGTAACCCAGATGTCATAGCATTTCAAATTACTTTTAAAAACCTAGAAAAACTTTAAGGGCATCTTTGGTGACTGCCCTGCTACAAGACAGAGCAGTCCTCACTTGGCCTGGCTTGGTACCTAGCATGGACAGCAGGTACACTTGTTTTGATTACACGATTTCCAGTCAAACCCAGACTGAAGTGAGAGGGGGACCTGAAACTAGTGCCCAATATGGTCCAAAAAGTAACTTAAAATCCCAGTCATTCTTGTGAAATGACTTCCATTATGGGTATTTTACTAGTTTGTCTTCAGATGTTGGGGAACCTCTATGGAACCTCTCATGTGTCTACAGTACAGTCAGCAAAGCAAAAGAGGAAAGACACCCGGTAAATGTAATCATAATAAATGTTCTGAAATTAAGCTGCATCATAATCTGAAGCATGCCTTCCACAAGGCATTACTATGCATATTTGTAATCAAAGAAAAAAAGCTAATATATAAAGGGAAATTTCTGAGTAAGAATTAATATTTACTACACACTCCAAAGATATATATTGTTTAGTCTGTCTCCCAAATCCCTGGCTCATTGTTGTTGTGGGGGGTCTTGGGAGATGGAGACTGAGGCCCAATGTAGGGGGATCACCCTTTTCCTTTTTCCTTTTCTTCTTAATCCCTTTCTGTCCACTTATCTTGACTGTCGACTCATTGTTACCCTTTTTGCCACAATACTTTACCATAGTGCTATGTGACCTTTGATGTCTAGCATATTTATTTGTATTTATCATTAAGCATTAACCATTGTTTGGTTATATAATTAGGTATTTGTCATTCAAGACATTAAGAACACTTTACCAAAAGCGACATGAAATCATGTGAAAGTACAATACTCTCAATTTCAGTAACATTAGAAGATATTTGTACTGATAATGTTGAATGTAATGGACACATTCTCTGTCTCATAATTATGTTTTGTATTATCATATCCTAACATCCATGATAAAGATGCTGTTTTAAATTTTGCACTGTTTCAACCAACATTCACTCTCATTCACTGATATATCTTTGTTAACTATCCCAGAGAAGTTATTTCAATTATCATAAAATTTGAATAGCTATTCAATAGTAGTTATATAAATATAATAAAAATGCCATGCAATTTCCAAATGCAGACTGTTTTCATAGCCATGAACTGGAAAATTAAAAAGACTATATGTGTATAAAACCATCTCATGAATGCAAATAACTATTAAATAAGCAATGAAAACCTATTACTAACTTTCACATTAATAACAAAATTATTTGACACATCAATAGCATAACATGTATTTAACGTGTTTTCAGATAAAGAAAAAAAGGAAAAAGGTAATTCTCTCCCAAACTTCAAACTGATATGTACCTTTCAAGTATTCTTCCTAAACTGTCAATGAGTAAACAAATTAGCCTTTTGATTTTTTTATCACAAAGGACTATGAAACATTGGGAAATTCATTTGTTTGTTTACATCAATAACCTGTGCGACTTTCATAAGAACTAGAATTCATAGAAAGTAGCAACAGTTTCTGCATACATGATCTGAGACAAGGACAATGTAAAGTTGACCATATGATTGGCAATGGCCATGTTTCTGTTTATGTATGTTAGGATGAAAATGATTTTCTTTGTATGAAATTGTGTTTTTGATGAAGAGTCGGCAGTTATGATAATTCAAAACAACAGCTTCTGGGGGATAGCTATAGAGTACATAAAGCTTAAATATTTATTACAACCTGATAATACAGACCATCTCTCATTGACACCGAACAACATTCACTCTCTCCTCATGCACCATCACAAAAACTGGACTAATACAAGAAAATAAAGTAAATCCCTTCAAACCCTTTATTTGTATGGGTGATACAGCAGATTCATTATTTCATTGAGAAAATGAAAAATTCTGAAATGGTGAATATGTACATGAATTATTTTCAGGGGAAATATATCTACACATTTATCCATGAACCCTGCACATATACATGCTTTTAGTGTTACCATTGATTGTTAGTTTTCTCTATACACATTTACTGTACAGCAGAACAGGACCACCTGAGATTAAGTATCTGTAGCTGAAGCACTTCTGTCACGGCTGGATAAATTAGGTAGATAGTGCAAAATCTCTCAGTATAACTACTGGTGCTTAATCTCAAAAGACTACATTGTCTGCCTTTACGCTTTTCCACTCAACTTCATAAATATTCCATCTAAAGAGATCAATCATTCCCACTAAAGACATGTGTGTGAGAACCCATGTTTATCTTCACTAAGCAATTGTACTCGACTTCCTTGGTCAATACTTCTGAAAGTATTATCAGAATGTCTTTGGAGTTTACTTGTGATGCTCTTAGTTGGCTCCCATGGGGTTCAGGCCAGGTTCTCCTTTCTTAGCAATGCCTGAGAGCAGCTTCTTCACCTCTGCAATGGCTCTTCCTGGGTTCAATCCCTGAAGGAGAATAAAAAAGTGTTTTATGCTGTTGGCAATCTCAATATCAAAATACAAAATTTTAAAAATGCTACTAGTGTCCATAAATTCCATTATAACTGAGCCTTTCAATACATTTCAATAACTTAAATTATACTGTAATGGTTGTGTTCTCTATATCTTTGTACACACATTAATACCCATAAAATTAAATTCCCAGTCCATTACCTTAGGGCATGTCTTTGTGCAGTTCATGATGGTGTGGCACCGGTACACTGAGAAAGGATCACGTAGCTTCTTCAGACGTTCCTCAGACATTTCATCCCTAGAATCAATGATCCATCGGTAGGCTTGCATGAGGACTGCTGGGCCCAGGTACTTGTCTCCGTTCCACCAGTATGATGGGCAGGAGGTGGAACAGCAAGCACAAAGAATGCATTCATAAAGACCATCCTGAGAGATAAGAGGGTTGGGGAAAAATTGATTATTATTGGAAAATATCTATATATCCATTTTTATCTACCTCATGATCTACACAATTAAATGAAAAAGGAACTTTCATTTTACAAAATATCACATCCAGTTAACATGCAATGTAGGCAGTGTAAATATACTAACAATAAGCACTATAAATCCATATCTATAAATATACTAACAATAAGAACTATAGATATACTATCAATAAGCACTATAAATCCATATCCATAAATATATGAACAATAAACTTACCAGCTTCTTACGGTCATCAACAGACTGCAGGTACTGCTGATCGCCTGGCTTGAGACCATCCTCACGCTGTAACCAGGGCTGGATTGAACGATACTGTTCATAGAAATTGTTCATGTCAGGAACCAAGTCCTTAATGACATACATATGAGGAAGGGGGTAGATCTTTGTTGCCTTGTTTAAGTTTGTGTCGATTTTGCTGTGGAGAAAGTTGGGATGAGTACCATTTTAAGTAGAATATATGAATCATGTTGCGATATTGTGTGTATGCAAAAATTTCTAGCTTCAGTTCCAAAAATATTTTAACATCTAACATGATCTTAATGCTTAAAAATCTGGTAACAGTGCATCTGAAAGAACATTTCAAATACCTGATGCAGGCCAATGTATTAACACCACCAATGTTCATGGAGCAAGATCCGCAGATTCCCTCTCGGCATGATCTTCTGAAGGTCAGGGAAGGGTCGATCTCGTTCTTAATCTTAAGCAGAGCATCCAATATCATGGGACCACAGCTGGAAGCATTAATTTATTTTTTAACAATCAAAACACTAAATTGCAGCATTTCCAAAAATCAAGTCAGTCATCTAACTCTCAATAAATCCATTTCAAATTTGGATATCGGTGAGAACAGTCATATCATAAATATCAATACTGTGACAAATAAATGATGATTCTTACTCATACAACTTCAGAGTAATAACTTACGTGTTGAGATCCACCTCATAGGTCTGCATGTGAGGCTTGTCTCCCTGCTTCTCGGGATCCCAGCGATAAATGGAAAATTTCTTTAACCTCTTTTCCGGTACAGGTTGGGCAGCTGTTGCAGCTGCTGTGCTCTGGGAGCGCACCTAGTGGGAGGAAACAGCAAATGTGTGAGTTACATTAAAAATACCAGAGAAAGAGTAACACATTAAATACATATATACATTAAATACACTGATGGCTATATTTTAAATTACAGATTTTCCATTACAGACATGCTTCAAGTAGATTAAGATACAATACAACCTATGTAATTAGAAGAATAGAGGTGTTTCTGAAAACCAATGCAAGTCTTCTACAGGTTGCCAGTTTTCCATAAAATATTGCAAATCTTAAATATCTTTAATTAGCAATGTCTTGACTATGAACTAAAATAGCTAATTCATAAGCACTGTAGTTAGAAAGGGTTCAAAATTTGTTTTTCTTTAAACACTGCATTTACAGGAAACTCAGAGACAAAGTACCAAGTTGGTTAATCTTTAGAGTATACATGTACTAAGCAAAAAGCAAATTGAAGATGATAATCTTGTAGCAGACAATGTGCAGCCATGGGTACAAGAAATAATCTGTAGACAAGAATGGTACCACCACATATAAAAGAAAAAGACCCCAGAAAGTGCTGCTCATAGCTGAAGTCCACTTGGTGCTCCCAAGTCTCAGCTCAATCTTGCCATGTATA